GGAGGAGGCAGAGAAGCAACAGGTCAGGTAACTTGACCAGACATTCTCAGTCATTAATTTCAGAACAGGACTAAGCACCAGATCTCCAAATGTCAAATACAGGGCTGGGCGCATAGCTCACGCTTGTAATCCCAGCACTTAGGGAGGCTGGGGCGGGGCAGATCACCTGAGATCAGTTGTAGACTAGCCTGATCAACGTGGTGAAACCCCGTCTCTACTAAAAATACAAAATTAGCTGGGTGTGGTGGCGCATGCCTGTAATCCCAGCTACTTGGGAGGCTGAGGCTGGAGAATCGCTTGAATCCCGGAGGGAGGTGGAGGTTGCAGTGAGCGGAGATGCCGCCATTGCACTCCAGCCTGGGCAACAGGAGTGAAACTCCATCTTAAAAACAAAAACAAAAGCAAAAAACAAAACAAAACAACAACAACAACAAATCGAAAAACAAATATAATTCATCACTGTTTCCTCTTCCCCTCCTTACCATTATTTGTAGCTGTAACTCTGTAACACCAAGAAAAAATCCAAATGAGTAGCACTAGCCAAAGGAGGCCACTTGTAAAACAAAATATATCTTAATCATTCATTTATGAGATGATTGTAAAGGGCCATCAAACTTGCCAGTATCTAAAGTGTAGTTTTAATGTTGGTCGTTTAAGTCTTCTTCTTCTTTTTTTTTTTTTTCTATTGGGAATTGCCTTCAGAATTCCAGTCTCTTAACCAAGTATCCACAACCCAGCAACAAAGTGGGCTCTCAGAATTTGAGGCACTAGGACTTTCTAATTCCCAGTTCCTTTCTCTATAGGAAATTGTACCTCTTGGGCAGTGTTACCCTGAGAAGGGAGTGAGACTTGGGAAAGGTGCCCACAGCTCAGTGCTGGCCTTGAGGACAGTGTGCATTCCAAAACATAGAATGAAGTGACATGTACTCTTAAGGCAGCATTCGTATTTGTCCCTGTTCCTCAACTTAAGAGCAATGGATTAATCTTTTCTGAAAGTTTTTCATAAATAGGACAAAGAAATTTAAATGTACTCTTAAATTTCTCCTTTTGTGTAAATCTAAAATCAGTTAACCTTTCTATAAAAACTTGGTGATGGAAGATCATGGTCTAATATACAGTATTGGGTTTGCTCCATTTTAAAAAATCAATTTTATTTTTCCTGGAACTAACATACTGAGAGGTAAAATCTTGAGATTCTGATGAGTTTTAGTGAAATGTGTCCACGTTAAACTTTGGATTGGTTAAAACAAAATGACAGGAAGCCTGTATACATTATCACACATGGAGAAAATCAATATAAATTATTGTTTCAAAAGTTTACATTTGATGAGTTTTGATCTTATCATTTGAAGTGCCAGATAAACATTTTATTATTACAATAGAATCCGGTAAACCAAGCAAAAAGAACAAAACAATACAGTATAACAATGCGAATGTTTAGAAAGCAAGGAACTCTCAACACTCAAATTCAAGCTTAGATATGGTCAATCTGACAAACTATTTCTGTTTGCTAAGAAAGATTATTTTTTTAGCACTTGTTGGCTTTAAAAGATGGTCTCCTTGCTTTTAGGCTGCCTCCATGTGTTCTGATGATATCAGTGTTTGTCCAAATTGTGTACCAGAATTTATTTTTCCCTCCATTTAAAATAAAGTATGGATTTTCAATCGGTACATGAAAGAAAACTGGACTTGAAGGCAGAAAAATTTTGTGGATGACCTAGCTCTGCTACATACAATTTATATGGATTTTTAATACAATTATTTGCTTTATTTAATTTCCTTTCGCTTCAGAGTTTTCAGCTAGGAAATGGAGATGATAATATCCATCATAATTGACTCACAAGGATGTGATGATCAAATAATTTAATATATTAGATAACACTGGATAACACCTTACTATACACACACTAGTTACCAATATAAAAGTGAAATTGACTTTTTTTTTGTAAGGGGAAACTATTGCATTGTATTACAGTGTACTATAGAGCAGACTGGATGGAAGTCCCTTGATTCTTTTTTTGTTTTTCTAATATCTAATTTTGTGACTTCACAAATCAAATCAATTTTCCATAAAATAGATGACTAAAGAACCTCTATCAAAGCTTTTAGATTAAAAAAAATCCCCTTTAATTTTTATTTTTTTTCTTGAATTGGACTACTAGTCAGAAAACACTTGGATTCCAGGTCTATAATGCAGCTAACATGGAAACATTTAATCTTTGCACGGCTTGGTTTCCTCATGGAAGATATCTTCCAGCTTTGATAACCAGTGATTTTAAGAAATCTGTGATGTAATCCACATAACTTACTGCACATTTAAACATGAAAATATTCCTAGTAAAAATGAACTGGAGTTTTCACGGAAGGAAGGGAATACAGTTTAATAACTCAAAGAACCTGAAACATTTCCTTTAAAACCAAACCAACACATGTTTTACAGTTTCTGAAGTATATGAGTCACATTCAGTTTTAATATCAATCTTCACAGAATATCGCTTGATTGAAATTTCAGTAATTTATATTTGTGTTTAATTGAAAATTCTAAGAAAATGGAAAAGCCAACATAAAAACATATTCTCTAACTCACTCAATACGTTATTAAATCATTTTGTTTTCTCTAATTATTAAGTAGAATGTCTTAAATTGTTTTCTAATTCTTAAGAGAAACAATGATTTATAACCACCAACTTAATTTTATTAGATACCAAAAATATTTTCAGATTTGGACATCACAAGCCTTGACCAGTAACAATTTGATATTTGCTAATCATGTTGTTTTCTTCGAAAAGCTTACGTAGAATATTCAATAATCATTTCTTTAAAATGCAGTTTTGTGAACAAGTAGCATGACTAATACATGATTTGTCTACACCATTGAAAATTTTAATTTACTTTTTGCATACCAATCCCTATGGCTTTCAATTAAGTCTTATAGAAAAGAAATGATGTTTCTTGTATACAAGGAAATAGAGGATTGAATCAACTTATGTGTAGGAGTTAATTTACACGACTAAGAATGCTAATAAAATACCTGAAATCGCTACGCTGATTTGTGGAAATAGGTGAATAAAGAGTCATGTTCAAAAAGCTTAGTTTGCTGCAGCTGATATTAAACCTATATTAACATTTTAATAGGCTACTACAAGACACAGAGCAATATCATCGGAGTTGCTTTGCTCTTTATAAGGTCATTTTATAGTACTGAGACAGAAATAATATTAATAAATTACTGGCACAATGTGTTTCTAGTGATTTAGAAAATGTTCCAGTATTTGAATAGAAATATAGTCAGGGTTCAGGCACAGCTATATTGGTCTGTAAAAACGGATTAAAGCAATCAATCTGTGATCAAAAATCTCTGTCGGAAGATTATTAGGACCACCCAATTCACCATTTCAATTCTAACGACCATTTGCCCTAGACAGTAGAATAGACAGGTGGAGAAACTGAAACTTTCCAAACACCTTAATGCCTTTGCTTAAATATCACTGGCAATTTTTTTTTTTTTTTTTTAAGTTAAGAAAAATCGGCAAAATGGGAAGACTTAGCGGTGGTCGTTTGACCCTGTTGGGCTGGGGCAGGGATCGGGAGGGTGGGGACTGAGACTTCAACTTAAGAGCTACTTAGGGGGGTGCACAGAAACCACCGCGGGCCTTTTCTGAAGCATTTGCTACCCCCGCGGCGAAGGGACGCTTAAGGAGGAAGTGCCTGTGCAACTGAGAAAGCGTTATTTCATCGCGGAATACAAAAAATTCAAGTCTCTAGATGGCAGCCTTCAATACCTTTGGAAAGCAGTCTGTCTCCTCCTCCGCCACCCCCACCTCCCCTCCCACCGCATCTCGGCTCCTTGGCAATGTAGTATCACTACATGTGTGCCCTGGCCAGTGGATATTGGGTTTTGCTGCTCTCCAAGAATCCGAACTTAACGTGTTTATTCTAGGGCCTGGTGCTCTCCTCTGGAAGCTACCTAGCTGTTTGCTTGGGGAAAAGAGGGAGTAGGGATGGCTCCAAGAGCCACGCTAAGCCGCTGCCAAGGGGAGGTGGCGCTGCGCCGCAGCCGGGGCACCCTCTGCCTGGGAGCAACAGCATCCTCCGCTCCCGGCGCGAAAGCTCCGCGCCCAGCGAGCGCAAAGAGCGCAAAGGCCACCTGCCCAACTGGCGGAGCAGGAGCAGCCCCACCGCCCCGATTCACCCAGACGTTTATGGGGAAGACATAAAAATCTCGGGTTCTTAAATTCGCAAAACACTGAGTTAGAAGGAGTAGGAAACAGGGGCAAATAAGAAACAGGAGAAAGAAACACGCCCCGAAAAACACCTTACTTGCACCCGGCAGCCCCTGGGGGGGCGTCCCTGACCTACCTCGGTGTGGGGACGAGAAAAGCCAAAGGTGTTAAAGAAGGAACTCGCAGACTAGCAGGGAGTGTGGGGGCGGCGGAGGACAGTGGGACTGCAGGAGACCCAGGTCTTTTCTGTCCAACCTTAAGATTTCGCTTTGGGGGTAGTCCAGGTGTCGGTCGGGAGTGAGGGACGATCTTCCCCACTCCAGCAGCCCCAGACACCCGCCCAGGTCAAGGTGGACGGAAAGCGGGGGTACTTTGCCCTAGCCTGGTTCCCTCCTGTTTTAGACCTTGGAATCTGGCTCCTCACAAGGTGTGAAACCTCTCCAAGCTGTGTCTGCGGAAAGTCCGGCTCCTGGCTCCACCCAGGGCAGAGCAGACCTCCGTCCCTGGGCCTTAGAAGCGGGCACGGGGCTGACCCTCAACCCGTGCCACTCCAGTGCACAGGACCCACTCAGCATCGCGCGCTGTGGGGCAGTTGACAGGGACCCCTGTAGCTCCAGCGAGGCTGGACAGGACTTATTTACAAGTGCAATGACCCCTGCCTCCTCGCTGGGAGCCCCGTGCAAACCGAAGCACTCTGGGGCAAGTTGGTGAGCGACTCACAACGCGGAACGGAGTTTGATCCACATGATATTGGGCATAGAAAGAAGAGGTTCTTACCTTGGTACAGAGAGCAGGGAGTTGCCATCCATTGTTGATGGGCGCCTAGAGAAGAAAGACGGAAAGTGCAGGCGAAGGATAAGTCTGTGGTGCTAGGACCCAGCTCCCAGAGTGGCAGACTGGCACGCGCCAGGAGAGAGGCGCGCAGGCTGGGGCGGCGGCGGCGCCCACGGAGACTCGCTCCTCCCTGGCCAGCAAGCTCTGTGCGCTGCGACCGCCCGCTGTCCCCTCCCGCCGTCCTCTCTGATCTTGCAGGAGCGCTTGGCCAACGCTCCCACTTTTCTGCCTGGCTCCTGCCTCCTGCAGGGCGGGCCCCAGTCTCCGATGCTGGCGGATCCTGCTCTACAGCTCATTCGTGCCCAGAAACATAGGTGACTCCGACCAAATGTCTCTTTCCCCACCCGCCGTCGGTCTCGCTTCCCTTTCTGTCTGGCGTACAGCAGGTCTGAGCCCTGAAGTTGTTCACCCACTTTCCCACATTCACGCCCTCACTCCTGGCAGTGCCCGCACTCCCCACTGGTCGCGCGCCGCTCCTCTGGCTTCCTGTCTGGATTTCATTTTTGTTTGTGGTCTACCATGTTGTGGTCGATCACTCAGAACCATGCTCTCTTTGACGCCCCCAAGTCTTTTCCCTTTATTTGGACTTTCTCTCTTGGTTTTGGTTTTCACGTTTCCTTAACTCATTTTGCTTAACTGTGACTTAGTCTTCTCTCTCTTGTGTTAGAACAGTGTGCGCACACAGAAATCTCAAAACCTATGAGAGAGGCCATCCTTCCGAGGACAGCACTGGGAACCTGGAAGGAAGAGCTGTCACAAACTTCTCCAGTTGCCGGCTGCCTATCTTCCTGAGCAAAAATGAGAGTTGTCTTAAGAAGAAAGACACTGACGGTAGCAAGTATCTGCTAAGATGAGGGCGCTGTGGAATCTGCTTCTTTTTCCAGTTAAAAAACAAATTAAAAATAAAATTTGGGACTTCCACAAATGGGAAGGTTGAGCCAATGTACTTTTAGCTGTTCCTCCTAGTAAGTACAACTAAATCCCCCGGAGGTTATCTATAAAACAGGCATGAGAAAAAGGTGGACGGAAGAATGCAGACCCCTGGAGATCCTGGGACTCCAAGCACGGCATAATGATGAGTTCTTGAGGTTCTCCCAGACTTTGGCTGAAGAAGATGACAACCCAGAAATGTCAAGGGGCAGAGACAGGAAAAGCCTTGACAAAGGACTCCTCTTTCTAGCCACAGGATCAGGAAAGAAGCAGCCTAGCAAGACAGAAAATTTGCACACAATAATAGCTCCCCTGTGTCCAAACACCATGAGAAAAAAACCTGTGGCCCTTTTTCAACTACACCATCAAAGGCCAAGTAGGGAGGCTACATTTCACCATCTGTAGGCTCTAAGGATGTAAGTCAGTAGCCTGGGCCAGGTGGTGTCAAAGAAAACTAAGTAGGTACCAGGACTTTCATCCCCTCCAAACACTGGCCGCACTCCCCTCTTCATGTCTCCTTTCCCGCATCATGGAGCCAAGAAGAGCTTGAACTTCCACATCCACACAGAAATAATGAAGTCCCCTTCCCATTCCACACATGCAGGTGGCATCATGGCAAAATAAGGAGCCAAGACTTTTCTAAAAATATTTTTTATTTCCATAGATTTTTGGGGAGCAGGTGGTGTTTGGTTACTTGAATAAGTTCTTTAGTGGTGATTTGTGAGATTTTGGTGCACCCATCACCTGAGCAGTATACACTGAACCCAATTTGCACTCTTTTATCCCTCACCTCCCTCCCACGCTTTCCCCTGAGTTCCTGAAGTCTATTGTATCATTCTTATGCTTTTGTGTCTTCACAGCTTAGCTCCCACTTATAAGTGAGAACATATGTTTGGTTTTCCATTCCTGAGTTACTTCACACAGAATAATAGCCTCTAGTTTCATCTAAATTGCTGCAAATACCATTAATTCATTCCTTTTTATGACTGAGTAGTATTTAGCACAATTTCTTTATCCACTCATTGATTGATGGACATTTGGTCTGGTTCCATGGGATCCAGGACTTTCAATCCTAACAAGGAGTAGCAGCACTGCTTCTTCACCTTGGTATCAATAGAGCTTGTACTTTCATCTCCACAGAGCAGTAATGAGCACTCCCCCACTTCCACTCTACACTGAGACAGTTTCAGGGGAGTTGTTGTGGAGAGTCAAAAACCATAGTTCAGAAGTAATAAGGCTCTATGTGTATCCCCTGCCCCCCACTCCCAACACAGAAGGCCGCATGGGAAGCAGGAACTAGGTACTCCTACCACTCTTATCAGTGGAGTCCTAGTGAGTCGCCTAAACTCCCACCTACCCTTGCTTCACAGTAATGAATACCACTACCTGTTTTTCAAGTGTCAACAAAAGCCAAGTGAGGAGCCCAGATTTCTACCCCCACTTGCTAGTGATGAGGTAGTGCTGCCCTTATTTTCCTTGCCTTACAGGAGAAGTGTTAAGAGAATCCATCTAAAACAGATCTTTAAATAAAATTCAGAATGTTCTGACATAATGCCCCAATTAGGCAGGCTTTAATAGAAAATTATTTGTCATATTAAAAACCAGATCTGAATGCAAATCCACACACAAAAAACAATCAATCGATACTATTAATAACATGGAAATGACAGAGATGTTAAATGTATCTGTCAAAGATTTTAAAGCAGCCATGATAAAAATAATTTAATAAGTAATATAAACAAATTAAAAAAAAAAAGAAAGTCAGCCCCTAAAAAATCTAAGCAGATATAAGTAGAAGATGTAAAGAAAAACTAAAGGGAGGTTTAGAAGTGAAAATAGAGTAACCACAATAAAACACAAATTGTTTTATTAGTTGGAGAGAAGCATCACTTTACCCATAAAGGAAATATAGTTCAAAAACAGTGAATTTCCCACTGGAAGCCATGGAGTACTGAAGTAATTGACAACATTTTTCAAGTGTGGAGGAAGAGAACTATGAACACAGAATCTTATGTCTAATAAAAATACGCATTAGAAATGAAGATGAAAATGGTATAGGATTCCAGCAGACCTCTCCTAAAAGAATGACTAAAGGAAATTGTCTAGATACCAATGAAACTGTCTTTACAGTTTCAGGCATCTTAGAATATCAAGAAAGAAGAAAGCAGTAGGAAAAATTTGAAAGATGCAAAGAATTTTCTTCTCCTTTTGAGTTTCCTAAACTACATTTGAAAATCAAAGGAAAGATTATGACTTTGATACGGTTCTAAATGTAGATAGAGAAAACATTTAAGACAATTATATTAAAGGGAGAAGGGTAAAGATTGTAAGACAAGTAAAGTTTACACATTTTACTCAAACTGGTAAATTGACCAACACCAACAAACTATAAATTTATATATACATATACATACATATATATACATACATGCATATGTATACACATATATAGCATGTATAGAAATTATAAAGCTATGCACATAGATATGCTCAAAAATAATGTAGGTTAAATCAATAAAATTGGTTTTATTGATTTTAACTTTATTTTAATCATTTTAAATGATTTTTATCATTTAAATTTTTAAAAAAATGTTTAACCCATAGTAAAGGAGGAAAAAGGAAACAAAAACAAAGAAGGGAGAAAACAAACAGAAACAACAAAATAAAACTCTGTCAATTTTGAGCTTAATGTACCAATGATTACATTAAATGTAAAGGGTCTAAATAGAACAATTTAAAGACAGAGATTGGCAGTGTGGATTAAAGATATGACCCAATTATGTGCTCTCTGTAACAAATATTTCAAATATAGCCCTATAGGAAGATTAAAAGTAAAAGTGTAATAAAAGATATATTAGGCAAGCATTATTTAAAAGAAAGCATATGTGGCTATATTTATATAACATACAATAGACCCCGAGCAAGGAAAATTACCAGAGACAGAGAGGAAGATTATTTAATAAGAGGGTCAATCTACCAAGTAGACACAGCAACTTTAAATGTATCCACCGAAACAGCAGAGCTGCAAAACATACAAAACAACAGAATAATAGAACTAAAAAAAGAAACGAACGAATCCAAAATTATATCTGAAGACTTTAACCACTTTTTCTCATTAGTTGATAAAACGACTAGTCAGAAAATTATTGAGAATATTGAAAGACTCAGCAACACCATCGCCCAAAAGGATCAAATTGACATTTATAGAATATGCCACCTAAAAATAGAATACACCTTTTTTTTCAAGTGTCCATTGAACATACACCAAGATAAACCATATTTGGGGGCAATAAGGAAATATCAATAAATTATAAATAATTGAAATCATATATGCAGTGTGTCCTCCAACTACAATGGGAACAAAAACAAAATCAAGAACAGAAAGATAAGAGGAATATATTCCAATACTTGGAAACTGAACAACACCCATCTAAATAATCCACAGGCTAAAGAGGGAGCCTCAAAGAAAATTTAAAAAATACATCTAATTCAATGAAGATGAAAATACAACATATCAGAATTTCTGGGACATTATTATGCTACACACTAAGAAGAAACTGCTGGAAATTAAATACTTGACAAAAGACTAGCATCTAGAATATATTTTAAAAGCCTCTCAAAACTCAACTATAAAAACAAACAAACAAACAAACAAAACACAAAAATCCAACTAGAACGTGAGCTAAAGATATAAACAGGCATTTCACTGAAGAGGTTTTACAGATGACAAATAAGCACAGGAAAAGATGACCAATATTACTATTAGGTAAGTTTTAATTTTGTGTTGTTTCTTGTTAGAATGACAATGATATTTCATTTTATACCTTTCAAAATGGCAAAAATTAAAAATATTTACACAACCAAATGTTGAAAAAGCTGTGGGAAAAACTGAGTCACTCATCCATTACTGGTGAGAATATAAAATATTAAAATCACTCCGAAGTAGTTTAGCAATTTCATAAAAAAACTAAACATGCTAGAAGAACACGACCCCACAGTTGCACTCCTGAGTATTTATCTCAGAGAAATTAAGCCTTCTGTCCATGAAATATTCTTACTCCAATGTTTATAGCCGTTTTACTTGTAATAATCAAAACCTAGAAACAACAAAGACATCCCTCATTGGCAAATAGTTAAACAAATTGGTATAGCTATACCTTGGAATACTACTCAGCAATTAAAAACAACAACAAAATATCAATACATGAAATAACATGGATGAATCTCCAGAAAATTACGCTGAGTGAAAATAGTAATCCAGGTGGTTATATGATTGCAAATATATAATAATATATAATATATGTACATATATTTTATATATATGACATTTGTAGAAAACAAAATTTTAGAAATGGAGAGCAGATTAATGATTGCTGGAAACTAAGGAGGGGTGGGGACGAAGGGAAATGGATGTGGATATAAAATGGCACCATGATTGATGGATCTCTGTGGTTATGGAAATATTGTATATCCTAACTGTATTAATGTCAATATCCTAGGTGTAATATTATACTATAGCTTTTGCAACATGTTACCATTGGAGTAAACTGAGTAAAGGGTATAT